AAACAGGTTTTTCGGGCCCTCCCATTTCATGCTGGTTCAGGCTATGGTAATGTTGTGGCAACCAGCCACTACTAGTACTTGTATTTTATTCAGATCGAAGTGTGCCAAAGATCACCAAGGGATGGAACATGACTAGAAGTGAAAGGAGCAAGTTGCCGGACCACAATAAATTCTCCATAGTTTTCAGATCCGCCTAGAAAAAAATGGGAAGTCAGCTCAAAACCATCCAAGCAAAAACGCCGATTTGGGCTGATGCTGGGACTGGCCAACCCTCTCAGGAGATATCGAATCTGTCGCTGCTGGATACTGAGCATGCTGGACAGAAAACGTGCATCTGAGCTGCGGCTGTGTACAAAGATACATATTATTTTCGCCGCCATTGTGGCGTAGGAACTGCGGCATTATTGTGCTTTCCCTTTTGCAACTTAACATGCAACCCAGAAATTCGTCATGTTCAGAGGAGCCTCCTTTTCGGAGATCCCTCTTTTTTTGGTTCCATGTTAATTTGCAGGGAAGTAGGACTCTGTGTTCTTCTAGGGGAACACATTTAACCTGCTGTTTTTGTGGAGCGAGCGCCTGCATCGTTCAGCGCTAGTCGAACTGCAGAGCCGCTCCTTTGTCCATCCTTTTCCACTGAACATTCTGTTCAGTCCACGAATGAAACACCTTTGTTTGAGTGGGCGTACCCATGGCATACCCAAATGTGTGATGTTTGTCATCAGAAATGATACCCAGAGTTCGTGCAAGTCTATATATGTACTTCGTGACCCATGGCAATCTAAGAGTATGTGTTTTTCATAAACCAGTTGTTGCAGTCTGTTCTTCTTTTCCAAGATGGAAGGCACCATGGACTTTCTCCGACGAGGAATATATCCACATATTTATATGTAATAATATATATACACACATGTATTCTTGCATAACATGTGTAGACCAGTACGTTGTTACATCTTGGGTTGAAGGTTTTGCAGCTTCCGTCGAAGATGGAAGTGTTTGCCGCCACGGAACCGCCTGTGAAGTTCTGGCCACGCAGCGGCTAATTTAAAACCGGAGAGACGGGTGGTGGTGGCGGTGGTGGTGGCAGCGGTGTGGTGCTGATGCTGTTGCTGGTACTGGAACATGTTGGAAGCCAGCTGATTTTGTTTGCAGAACCTACAAGGGTTGCTTGGATGCATTTGAAAAAATACAATATTCGGGGAATCCAACTTCTAAGGCGGAAACCCAAGCGTAAACCACCATTTGTTTGGAGCACTTGCAGTTGTCCAGGACGACCACGGGGAATTTGTTTGGCGAACCTGATAAACATGCGCACAGGAAGGACCGAGTCATCAGTTGGAGCGCCTTGCGCTACTACTCCATTTTCTCGCGTGTGGTGGTCCTAACTAGCAAGAAAACAAAACATCAGGCAATTTGCCGAATCTTGAGACGATTCATGAAATGAGGCTCTCTTCCAGAGCTTGTGATCTCGTAGCATCGTCCCCCGAAATTCATGGACCTCCACTTTTACAACCACCCGACCATAGAGGCTGTTCCAATGTCTCAAGATCGCCACTTTTTGCATGGCATGACCATTGGGGGAAACAACTCTGTAACAAGATGATATGTCCCACTAGGTGAACAAAGTTGCCCATGGTCGTGTGGGGAGGGAACGGAATATTGCTCTATTGTCAACTTCGGGACATGGGGCGCTCACCAAATTGCCCACCAAGTCACGAGACTTCACTGCCGATGTCCAGGGTAAGCTATGTCGACTGTGCCTACGTCGCTATCCTTGGGGTGATATGCATTTCATTCCCTTATGCGCTGGCCCGGTGAACTTCCGTTGACTGGTCTATATAAGCGACAAGGTCTGTGTCCACTGACGACTCGGATATGTGTTCATGGTAACGCCTTCTTGCGTTCCCTGAGCACGAAAGGCAGCCTGTCATATCAAACCGACACAGTCACAGGTTGGTGGTGAGCCGCTCTCAAAAGTCTTGGTTAGTGAGGGGCCATTTATCCTGACTCTGGAAAATGAAAGGTGGTGTTCAACTCAGCAAGCAGGAGTTGCTGGGATGTGTGGATGTCAACTGGTCTCGCAGCTGTTTTTTGCTCGAAAAGTAAAGTTGCTTGCCAGCAGTGGCGCTACTTTCCAACCAGTTGCTTCATGACGCAGAACCGTCAGACAAGAATGCACGCCAGACTTAGCAGAGGATTTGTTGCTGCAAGTTGGCACTTGAAAAACATGACAGACCGTGAGGGAGAAAGGAAGCTGGAAGATCGCACTTTGCTGCACCAGTTCCCCAACAGAGACATGAAAACCAGATGAGGACGTGTTCCTTGAGTCGTGCATTGTTTTTTGCTCCCAATGAGCCGGATGGACGTGATCCCGAAAGATACCTTCCGCGCGCGTGCAGCTCGGCTATCCAGACGGGTGTGTCTTTTGAATCTCCATTTCGGATGGAGCAATTTCCCAAAGGGCAAGCGGTTATAGTGTAGGGGTCTCCTATTTGATCCATATCCCGGCCTCTAGCTGCCCGCTTGCAAAGGGCAAGTCTTAGGCTCGCTCAGTTTGCTATTCCAATCTTTTCTTGTGGCACTGCTACTCTTGGGGCTGGTTTGTTTTCTCGGGCACCTGAGACTTGCTCGCGCCAAGGTCACTCTTTCGAGTCTTTCCAAGACTCCTTCAATGCCAGGTTTTTTCGATGGCCCAGATCCATGAGGACAAAGAGGAGTCTACCTTTGGGTTCAAGTGAAATAAGAGGAGTCTACCCTTTGAGCTGCAAATTTCCGTGAAATAAGCCTGACTTGGATTTGCCCTTCTGAAAGAGGGAGGTGCTTTGCTCACTTCTCGTGGCCAAAACCCCCGGCTGCATTTCACACACCTCTGCCTTTGCTTCCATTCGGCAAGTCCCATCAACAGCAAATCCGGGCTGTTTGCAACTTACCTTCCATTTGCATAGGAAGATTTGTGTTTTTATTATCCCTTGTTGTTTTAAAGGGATCTATCACCACTGGATTTGTTTTAATTGTTGTTCATGTTTTTCGCCCCCTGGAAAAGCAAATGGAAGTTACCAATCTCTGGACCCTCCACAGGGATCAGGACATGAGGAGACGTTCCCAAGCTTCAATATAGACACAGTCGCTCAGACACGTTCTCCGCGCTGATCCGTTTACCGTGCTTTGGTATTGATTCAAACATATCATCGTAACATTCATTGGCCGCTGTCATGTGAACGGTGTGATGATTTTAGCGCCTCCGGCTCAGGCCGCCGACATTACAGGCCTGCTTTCTTATTTGCGTCCTTTTGGAATTGTCCCCTTGCCCCCCTTCCCCTCTAAGATCTTTGCCCCCCTTTCCCTGTTCAGATCCCCCCTAAGGCCTTTTTGCCCCCGGAGATCTTCTCCCTTTTCCTCCCTAAGATATTTTCCCACCTTTCCCTGTTGAGATCCTTTCCCCCCTGTCCCCCCAAAAGCCTTTTCCCACCCTGAGATCTTCTCCCTTTTCCTCCCTACGATCTTTTCCCCCATTTCCCCCCTAAGTCTCCCTTCTCCTCCCTAAGGTCTTCCCCCCCCCCCTCCCCGTTGAGATGCTTTCAAGGCCTTTTCAGATCTTCTCCCTGTTCCTCCCTAAAATATGTTCCCCCCTTTCCCGTTTGAGATCCTTTCCCCCCATTCCCCCCTAGGACCTTTCCCCCCCGAGAAAGATTTCCCTTTTCCTCCCAAAGGTCTTTTCCCCCCTTTCCCCCCTAAGGCCTTTTTTCCCCAGATCTTCTCCCTTTCCTCCCTACATCTTTCCCCCCCTTTCCCAGTTCAGATCCTTTCCCCCCTTTCCCCCCTAAGGCATTTCCCCCCGCTGTGATCTTCCCCCTTTTCCTCCCTAAGATCCTTTGCGATCCTTTCCCCCCTTCCCCCTAAAACCTTTTGCCCCAGATCTTCTCCCTTTCCTCCCTAAGATCTTTCCCCCCCCCTTTCCCTGTTGAGATCCTTTCCCCCCTTTCGCCCCTAAGGCCTTTCCCCCCCTGAGATCTTCTCCCTTTTCCTCCCTAAGATCTTTTGCCCCCTTTCCCTGTTGAGATCCTTTCCCCCCTTCCCCCTAAGGCCTTTCCAGATCTTCTCCCTTTTCCTCCCTAACATCTTTTCCCCCCTTTCCCTCTTGAGATCCTTCCCACCCTTGCCCCCCTAAGGCCTTCCCCCCCCTGAGAGCTTCTCCCTTTTCCTCCCTAAGATCTTTTCCCCCCTTTCTCTGTTGGCCTTTTTTTCTTCCAGATCTTCTCCCTTTCCTCCCTAAGAGAGATCATTTCTCCCCTTTCCCCCCTAAGGCCTTTTCCCCCCAGATCTTCTCCCTTTCCTCCCTAAGATCTTTCCCCTCCTTTCCCTGTTGAGATCCTTTCCCAGATCTTCTCCCTTCTCCTCCCTAAGGTCTTTTGCCACCTTTCCCTGTTGAGATCCTTTCCCCCCATTCCCCCCTAGGACCTTTCCCCCCCGAGAAAGATTTCCCTTTTCCTCCCAAAGGTCTTTTCCCCCCTTTCCCCCCTAAGGCCTTTTTTCGCCCCCTTTCCCAGTTCAGATCCTTTCCCCCCTTTCCCCCCTAAGGCATTTCCCCCCGCTGAGATCTTCCCCCTTTTCCTCCCTAAGATCCTTTGCCCCCTTTCCCTGTTGAGATCCTTTCCCCCCTTCCCCCTAAAACCTTTTGCCCCAGATCTTCTCCCTTTCCTCCCTAAGATCTTTCCCCCCCCTTTCCCTGTTGAGATCCTTTCCCCCCTTTCGACCCTAAGGCCTTTCCCCCCCTGAGATCTTCTCCCTTTTCCTCCCTAAGATCTTTTGCCCCCTTTCCCTGTTGAGATCCTTTCCCCCCTTCCCCCTAAGGCCTTTCCAGATCTTCTCCCTTTTCCTCCCTAACATCTTTTCCCCCCTTTCCCTGTTGAGATCCTTCCCACCCTTGCCCCCCTAAGGCCTTCCCCCCCTGAGAGCTTCTCCCTTTTCCTCCCTAAGATCTTTTCCCCCCTTTCCCTGTTGGCCTTTTTTTCTTCCAGATCTTCTCCCTTTCCTCCCTAAGAGAGATCATTTCTCCCCTTTCCCCCCTAAGGCCTTTTCCCCCCAGATCTTCTCCCTTTCCTCCCTAAGATCTTTCCCCTCCTTTCCCTGTTGAGATCCTTTCCCAGATCTTCTCCCTTCTCCTCCCTAAGATCTTTTGCCACCTTTCCCTGTTGAGATCCTTTCCCCCCTTTCCCCCCTAGGCCTGTTTTTTCTCCCGAGATCTTCTCCCTTTTCCTTCCTAAGATTTTTTCCCCCCTTTCCCTGTTGAGATCCTTTCCCCCCCTTTCCCCCCTACGGCCTTTCCCCCAAAGATCTTCTTCCTCCTCCCTAAGATGTTTTCCCCCCTTTCCCTGTTGAGATCCTTGCCCCCCTTTCCCCCCTAATCCCTTTTCCTCCCCAACATCTTTTCCCCCGGTTGAGATCC